TTTCTTATGAAGTGGGGGCTCACCTTCCTTCATCCATGCATAGCCTCTACCATCATTAGAGTCAAAGGTTGACTCATTATGTGTAACTAGAACAATTGGTCTTTGACCTTCGGGCAGATCTTTGGGGAAGATTATCACTAGTTTTCCATCAGTATCTAACTCCCATTTAACCATAAATGGCTTGAGAGTGTCAAGTGTAGGGATAAACTCATTTTGACGATAGGCAATGACATCTTCTCACTCATGTCCATCTCAGTATATACCCTTCTTTACTTCCTTATACTTATATCCTAACCTATGTAGCCATTCTGCTGCAGAACGACTTTTGAGTACTGAGTGCACTCTTGTTCCCAGTTCCTCTGCAATTGAATGGCTAGCTACTACTGGGGAGTTCAACTCACCTAACTCTTCATTCAGGTTAGTACTAGCTGGTAATTTACCTGTAGTCCAAAAGGTAGTAATAGCTGCTGCAAGAAGGTGTGATGAGATAGCATCACTGGCACCAGCAATGTATTCCCGAATGGCCAGTCTAGTTTCTTCCTCATTCAAGCGTGATATAATACTACCTTGTTGGCGCTTTTTCTGTAAGGATATCTCACATGATTTTATCCACTTACGCTCTGCCTCTAGAATACGTAGTGCTACAAACTGTCCTTTCTCTGAGGTAGCAGCAACTAGAGCAGCACTCTGCATCCGTGGCATTCTCCAGGTTTTCTCGGTTAAGCCTAGTCTCTGAAATCTCATCAATTCTAATACCTGCTTGTGACACTCAAGATTTAAGCCTTCTAGCTTGCACTTCTTAGACTTTAAATACCGCCGTAAATCACGGATTGCTATTGTATAATCAGTTATTTCTTCCTTCTAATTCTTATATCTACCATATTGATATACCTGAGACTCACCCTGTGACAGAATATGGCTTTTCACATCATCATGGCTAACCTTATTCAATCTTGGCTAACTCTTATAACCTTCCTCAATCATTAAGCTCAATTGACTTTCCTTACAGTCAGATGTCCCTGCATTACTCGACTCTGTAATTATTATTATAAATAATTAGTTATTATATTAATCTAAAGCTAAATAGACTAGTAGCAAGCCAAAAACATACCTATATTATCTACATTAGACATACTTTCTTCATTCTCCTGCACTTGGAGCTTGTTTCTCCATTGCGATAGTATTTGACGACATGGGTTTTTGGCTTTAAGACTATTCTCAATGGCATTAGGATCTATCAGCTCTGACTGGTTAATTATTACCTGTGTATCTTCCTCCTCTATAATGTCTCACTAATGTTAGACACTTTCTTCTATCAAATTACTTCATTTTAATAGATTAACTTACCTCCACTATTCAAAACAAAAGCTTGTTCCACATCTTGCTCATTACCACTTGCTGTAGTATCATTTGGATCTAGATTTTAGGGTTTGTTATTAGTATCTTGACCCAAAGGTGGCTGACCACCAAGGCTACCAATACGGCAACATAATACTATATTTTTCTTTGGTCTTTGTCATCTAAAGATTCTCTACAGAGTATTAGCATCTATAATTTTAAAAGATATACAGACTACCTACCAGTACCTGAAATACTTCTAATTGATAGCAGATCAATGGACTTCCACTGATTTCAGAAGTAGAGCTTAGTGTCAACAGAAACTATAGGTTGATAATTCACAAAACCCTACAGGGTACTAGGTATGTCAGGTGTTTTACAAAGATTTTTTGGAAGACTTGGCAGAACTATGTAATTACTAATCCAGATAGTGCCCTATCTTGGTACTTAATATGTGGCTGTGCGTAACATTTTTTCAGTTTCTCACCAAAACTGCTTAATTTCAAATGATTATACACAACTACTCAGATATCTGAGGAACTTAAAAAAACCTCTACATTGTAGAGAAAGGCAAGGAGAATAATCTAGAGGTTTTTCTAAGTCTCCTGGGCTTCTGGATCTGATGGTATAATGGTTTGAAAATGACTAAATACATGGTTCAGGTTTTGGTCCGCATGAACCATACCGCTTAAGCTTTTAGATATCATCAAGAAACCGAGAAGAGACCTAAACAATATAATATTATTCTTACTATTCTATTCTACTTTATTCACTTTACCCTACTCTTAGAAGTCATAAATGAAATGAGTATAGCTTGTGCCTTTCCAGACAATCTCCATCAACAGAAACGAATCTTGGTCAAACTAGACAACTCTGAGTCTACACAGATTGTCTCTGCCTTACAGTAACCCCCTGGCTGGAGCAACACTTAGGGTATCTTTTATTGCCTAGTTTTATCGGCCATTTTATGACTGTTGGTATTGGTTGCCTGTTTGTAGCTACACTTATTGTTGCTCTCAGTGTTGTCTGTTGGGCCTTTCTGGGCTGCTTGGTACCATAGGTTGGAGCTGGGATGTAGTGGCTTGATTATGGCTACCTACAGTATCTAGTTATACACTTTCTCATAGGTCACTAGTGGCTAGCTACCTGTGGTGCTAACAGTACTGGGTACTCACAGTGGTGTCTGACCTAGTGGCTTAGATGCAGCTGAGTGGATGGGGTAGAGCTTCTATGAGGACTGGTCTGGAGTATATTAGGTTATAGGACCCCTAATTAAATATTCTCAGCTGCTGGTAACTGCTGCATGCTATAAAGGAAGGATGCTGATGGCCACCTATTTGGATAGTGGGATGCACCTATTGGTTTGAAAATGGGTAGGCTTTTGGATTCGGTGTTATGGTATTTATATGGTTTTTTCAGTTGGTCTATGGATATGGTAGGAAGTAGAAGGCACCATAAGTGGAAGATAGAACCTAATAGGCTTCAAAGGTTGTTACCACTTCTGAGTTGCCTGTTTTTGGAAGTGATGGGCAGTGGTTAGACCATTTTGGCTTGTAGCCAGAGCATTGAGTGGCCTCAGCTGGGAGGGTTTCTACTGGGGAGAAGGGATTGTAGGCTGGTATTTAGACTAGCAATAGTACTTTATTTTCTATTTTTATATGAGGTACCTGGGATAATAGTACCCCACATAGCTTCTCCTATATTGGAAGGTCTTTTAACTTCTGCTCCAGGCTTTGTTGGGTCAAAACAATTGGATCTGCTGGATTGCTTTGTTGTGGGCTTTCTTTAATATCACAGGTCTTGTATTTAGTGTTCCTGTTGGAGTATGGTAATGGCAGGTTCAAGGTACAGAATTAGAGATTAGTTGGTCGTAAGTGGTAGTCACCAATGGTATCCTAACTAGAGGATCCACTGACCCTGGACTTTTCAGATGCTCATGTTGGTAGTACAAGTTTAAATTAAAATTATTTGAACTCAATAAG